TGGGGGTATTGAGGGCGGGTATGGGGCTGTTGGAGGGGTTATTACCGGTTCTGGACCCAAAAAAAAATGAAAAAATTTGTGGGGTGCCGACGACCCCCGACCGGTAGGTGCCGACCAGCCAAACGGTCGGCTGGTCGGCATCCGACCAGTCGAGGGCCGCCGACTGTCGGGGTATGCAACACTGATGTCTAGTGACTGATTTCTTAACTTTTCGCATGAAATTGCAAGTGTCCCTTCCTTTGCCGAAATAAACATTGCATTCTAGAAATGGAGCATGCTCGGAAAACACAGAAATGGAAATAAATTGAAAAAACAAATTGCAGGAAACGGAAAACAATAAAATATAGTAATATACTTTTCAAAAAAAAATTGCAAGAGTGATCCTCACACTTTTCAGGATAGTAACTGGTTTTGTATCTCACTTTTAATTAATTATTTTTTTTAATGACATTTTCGTACTCCATGCAAAAGGGCTGACAGGGTCATTGCAAGTTATCATCAAAACCCCTGCTCAAGGACCGCATTCTTGTAAGGGATGCCAGGCCCATTTCCTGGTTATAATAAAGCTTTGTTCAAAAAAAAAAAAAAAAAAAAAAAAAAAAAATCCCTCTTCCAGTGCCTCCAGTCTAAGTACGGATAGGCAAGGAATTAAGAAAGTCAAAAGCAGGGCAAAATGTTCATAAACTAGCACCACTTACTGGTAGCACCAGTTGAGTAAGGACTCTTAAGGAGTTATGGATCCGTACTTTCTGGCCTTGAAGTCCATCCTACTGCGCACACATGGAATCGAACCGGCAACCTCAGCCGCAAGAGCTAAGTATCGTCACCACTACAGCCCTTGACATGGTGCCCAAAAGTGGAGCCATAATACCGTACCGATCATAATATCCCCACCCCTGCAAGGTCGTAGTGTCCTACTCGCTCACAGTGCACACAACGCCACAGGGACGCGGCAGCTCTTGCACACTTCCCTCCAATCCAGCATGTGACCCTCACTGCTCAATTGCACGCTCACCACACAAGGCCCTCCTCATCGGTTCCTCGGGAGCTTCCACAGTATTTATAGATCCATACTGAGTTGGTCTAGCCAGAAGTTTTGGTGTTGTAGGACTGAGAGGAAATCAGGGGTGGAGCAGCAGGACATCCTTCCTGTGAAAGGAAGGAGCAATCAATGCTGCTGACATGGGATTGATCCATTGACAATAGCGAAGGGGAGCATTGAGCGCGTTTTTGTAGTAAGGAGGAGGAGGAGGAAGAAGGAGGAGGAGAAGGAGAAGAAGGAGAAGAAGGAATGAGAAGAAGGAGAAGAAGGAGAAGGAGAAGGAGAAGGAGAAGAAGAAGACAGCCATGACGGCGGCGGCGGCGACGACGAGGGGGAAGAAGAACAACAACAAGAACAAGAACAAGAAGACAGCAATGACGACGGCTGCGGCGGCTACGACGAAGGGGAAGAAGAAGAAGAAGAAGACAGCCACGAGGAGGAGGAGGAGGAGGAGGAGGAAGAGGAACAGGAAGAGGAAGTGGAAGAGGAAGAGGAAGAGGAAGAAGAAGAAGAAGAAGAAGAGGAGGAAGAAGAAGGAGGAGGAGGAGAAGGAGAAGGAGAAGAAGAAGAAGAAGAAGAAGAAGAAGAAGAAGAAGAAAGAAGAAGAAAGAAGAAGAAGAAGAAAGAAGAAGAAAGAAGAAGAAGAAGACAGGGAAGGAGAAGAAGGACTGACCCTCAGGCAGGACCATCATGCAAACGAAATCAAGGTTCCATGATTTCTCCCAAACGTGATGCTAATTATATGCCACTTGAAACAATGGTTTAGTTTCGTGAAAAAAAGAGAAAAAGAAATATTTTGAAAAAATAATAATTCAAAGTACCCCGCCCAGGCAAAATTGAGAATCGACATTTGCTCAATCCAAAAAATCCGGATGAACAACGTAACCAGATCAAAATGGCTGGCAACACCAGCCAAAAAAAGAGAAAAAAGTGCGCTGCTGGTGGCTTAGTTTTCTTTGGCTCGCAGTGACAATCCACCACAGCAAAATGAGGCTCGGAGGTGCTGGGGGTTCGAGCCTCTGCCAATCCTCAGATGCGATGATATGATGTTATACGGCGTTTCTTAGGAGGACGACATCCGTTATGTGGCGTTGGAGTTACATCGCTAATCTTGGTTATAATAAGACCTCCTAATTGTAAACCACGTAAGGCCGAAGGCTTTCCATAACCTAAACCTTTGATTCTCTCACTTCAACTGACTTAATTCCTAATGGGATAGCAGCACGCGCTACATTCTCAACAGTAGCTTGAGCAGCATAATTGGTTGAACGACGAGATCCTTTAAATCCCACTGAACCAGAAGAGGACCAAGATTTGGTATCTCCAAAAGAGTCTGTTATGGTAATTATAGTGTTACTTGGCGATCCTCATATTTGCTCCTTCAGCAGTACAAACTTATGCTTCAACCAAGTCTCAAAAGCCAAAAACACTTCTTTGGTGTGCATTTCTCTCCCTAGCTGCTTCAGTTTGAACCATGGCTACAATCCGGGCGTCCGGACCGCCGTCCAGACAGTCTGGATTCAGTCCGGACTCCAGACGTCCGGTCCGGAAGGTCCGGATCTGCCAAATTTCGAAAAACAACAACGGTCCAGGACCCTTCCCCACTGAGGGGCCAAGCCCCCAAAATTGTTTTGGGGGTTTTTCAGGCCCGTTTTTGTTTTTTCAGGGGGTCCGGACATGGTCTATCTCTATAATAAATTTAATAATTTATTACTAATACGGTTATACCCAAGTACTCTTTTATAGTTTTTGACTTTTAACTCAAGTTTTGTTAGGAGTTCTGACATGACTCTGAGGCAAAAGTGGTTTGCATTGTTAATCTGCATAACTTTTTTTTTTCAGTTTTGTTCTGTTTTCCCGGGCACCCCGGCACCCAACTTCTGCCCAGGTACACGCCCGGGTGCCCGGCCGGGCATGACCTACGGGCAGGGTTCCGGGCAGCCCCAGCGCCAAAAAAGGAAAAAAAAAAACTCAAAAAATTCCGGAAAAAAAATATGTTGTGTCGGATTGAAATACAAACGACTTTTGGCTGAGGGTCACATTATAATTCCTCACAGAATCGGAGACAAAAAAGAAAATAACAGAATCACACAAAGGCACCCTCCTTTAGACCCCTTTAGCCCCTTTAAAAACAATTTATAGCCCCCTGTCCCCCCCTTGACAGCCAACTCGAAAAAAACGAAATGAGCCCGGATTTGGAGTTCTCTGGGAGAGTGCAGACAACCAAAAAAAAAAAAAAAAAAAAAAAAATTTTTTTTTTTTTTTTTCACCCGGGTGCCCGACCGGGCGTGAGAATCTTCCTAGTTTTTTTTTTTTTTTTTTTTTTAATGGTCCGGACATTTCCGGACCTGTTTACTGGCCCGGCCCGGCCGGAGCCATTCATGTCAGGAGGTACGGAGGTGTCCGGAAGTCCAGACCTGACCGGACATGAGCTGTCCGGATCCAGGTCCAGGTCCGGCGTAGCCATGGTTTGAACTTTGAACCTTCAAGCCAGGCATTTATGGGTGTGTCACGCAATGTAGACAACAGCGCCAATCGCTCGTGATCTGGGGCCGTCAAGAGGTCAATAAGCACAGCGCATTTCACACAACCGACTGGCAACATCTTGCTTACCAGTAAACTTGTCCGGTCAGGTGGCACAACCAACTTGCGGTGAAACGTCGGCATTGCTGCTGGTGCCGAGCAGGATGCAGCATTTGGTGTATTAGCTGTGCAGCTGCGGGAGCGATGACCTAAGGCTGTAGCTGGGCATGGTCAGGACAAGTAGACCAGCAAATCTGATGCTGCAGTCTTGAGTCCTGCTTCCAGTAGATCTAGGATCTGCTGCTGTAGATCTACGATCAGCAATCGTCGTGTGAAGACCAACTTTCTCTTCCCGGATATGGAGTATCAGCTGGGACAGACACTGAACGTAGTCATCCAAGCTCGGATTAGTAATATCGATGCGACTGAGCGTGGAAGTCAAAGCCAGTTTCTGAATAATACTAGCATGGGTTGAGCACGTAAGTGGTCTTGGGGAGGTCGTGGGTTCGATCCCCCACGCCATCCATTCGGCTCCCCATGGCCCCTTGCTGCGCACTTCCCACATGAGATAGCTGATTCGCCCCCCCTGAGGGGATAGGTAGGCTGGGATTGGGATAGATCAGGAAGGAAGGTGTCCCATAGACCCATAACTCTATAGAGTACTGTGCAGTTAGGTGGGTAGATATGGATGAAAGTATGACATAGGCTATATCCTTGCGGAATAGGTAGGTGGTCCATGTGGATGAATGGGAGGTTGGTAGGTAATGAGCATGATGCCGAGGCGGGTAGATCACAGGAGGTAGGTAGCTAGCTAGTGAGAGGAAGAAAAAATTATCGAGAGAAGCGAATAGCTTACGAAAACATATCTGTCCCCCATATGAGGAGAAGACAGCCCTTTTTTTTTTTTCACCACCAGTACTTGGCCCATACATGGGCTGCGGGGCTTTCCCGTTAACGCGCCGCAACCCTAGGGCCTCGGGGCCGGTTCGGCAGGCCGAAACGGAGAAGGCCTCGCAGGCCCATATGGGACAAGGCCAGTAGCGGGTGGCGGACATTACCGGCCTGCCGTTTGGACCTGCCCACCGTGCCACCTTACACTATACGGGAAAAAAACTATGATACCGAAAACAGGAAAAAAAAAAAAGAGGCCGGACCATTGCTCCTGTTTCGCGGTGCGCCGTGCCGAGTTTCGACGGGTGTGCATGTGTAACCACCTGCGCCGCGTGTGCCATCACCCCGCTTCGTCGCCTTTGGCCTTCGTCATGGGGGCCGTGGAGAGAGAGACGCGCGCACACAAACACACACACACACACACACACACACACATTCAAATGCATCGTGCGCAGACTTTTGGGGTTCAACCTCCTGATGAGTCGCTGAAAGTCCGACGTACAGTCTGGCAAAGTCATGCTTTTTTGAGTGTGTAGCGAATATGACAACACACACACACACACACACACACACGCTCTCCATATCCTCGTCTTCGTTCTTCTCCACCTCATTTCCGTTGTCCTCCTCCTGCCCCTCCTCCTTGACGTTCTTCTACTCCACCTCCTGTTCGTTCTACTTCTCCTCCTCCTTTTCTTTGTCCTCCTCGTCCTTCTTTTGGTCATCCTCCTCCTCCTCCGCTCCCCCTCCTTCGCCCACCTCCTCTGCCGCGGCCTCCCCTCTGCCCGACCCGCGTCGCCTTCGCCGGCTTGTTTTCCACCTCCCACTTGCACACGCGTTCCCGCCCTTTTTTTTTCTCTTTTTTCTTTTTTCTTTTTTTCTTTCACTTTATTTCTATCTCTGTATGAATATCACAATCAATAACTGCATCAAGACTTAGGACCTCGCTCCACTACTCTCGACATGCACAAAAGACAAAAATCATGGCGGTGTATCTTTCCATGTTCTAGCGGAAGATTCACTCTCGTTTTGCACATGTCGAGAGTAGTGGAGTGAGGCCCTTATTCATTTAGTTCTTCAGAGATAGAAAGTGTGCGTGTGTGTGTGTGCTATTGTGTGTTTGTGTGTGTGTGTGTGTGCATGCATTTGGTATACACAGCTCCGAAAAAAAAGAAAAAAGAAAAGAAAAAGAACAATGTTAAAAGTGCCGGACAGATGACCTTCGTAGACACTGTACGTGATAGCTCTCTCTCTCTCTCTCTCTCTCTCTCTCTCTCTCTCTCTCTCTCTCTCTCTCTCTCTCACACACACACACACACACACACACACACACACACACACGAGATTACGATTCGCCTCATGTTATCATCGCGACACAAGCATCGACGTCAGTGTCAGTGGGCTGGTGGGGCCACTGAATCTCGTGGACGACAGTGCTCTCTCTCTCTCTCTCTCTCTCTCTCTCTCTCTCTCTCTCTCTCTCTCTTGCATGCGTGTGCGGATTCCCAGCGACCATACCACCACTCATCCCGACGAGGGAAGCCAATCACACATCCAAATAAAACGCACATACATCAAGAAATGATGATATCTATACGTGCAGCCACTGAAAGAAGCCAAAAAAGACAAACAAAAGACAAAAGCAAGACGAAAACAAATGAAGAGCATGGATAAGGAGAATCTGCAAAGCAGCTACCAGGGGAAACATGTCCACCAAGACGATGCATGTCGTGCATCACAGGTGTTCCAAGTGGAAGTAATGCCACACCACTCTCGAAATGTGCAAAATGAGAATGAACTTCCCGCTAGAACATGGGCAGATGCACCCGTCACATTTTTTGTCTTGTTCATGTTTCGAGGGTGGTGTGGCCAGGCCCATACAGTCATCCTCGATGGCCACGGAGAAGGATGACACCAACCATGGAGGGGGAAGCTCAGGGCCATGGCCACACAGCACACGTGGCAACTGTACGGAAAAAACTGACAAGGCTCACCGTAGAAAACCAAAAAGAAAAGGTGGGGAAAAAAAAGCCAAACAGTGCGGCCTGGCCGTAGGAACGGACCGCATGATGTCCGTTCAGTTGGACCTTCTATCAGGCCGAGGTGCCACACACCCGAGTACCGGTACCGGTACCCGAATTATCACGAAAGGACAGGGTGACTCAACAGGCTCGGTAAAAAACGGCGCGCAGGGCATATTCAGGCTCGGCTACTATAGCTGGACCAAGTACTGGTGGTTTAAGGGGAAAAAAAACTACCATGCTTGGCCTCCTTATCTCTTTTCTCTCTCTTTCTGTCTCCTCTCCTGAAGGACGAACAATAGCTTTTGGAAATTTGGAGGTTTCATTCCTCTGCCTTCAAAGCATCAGGCTCTCAACCCGGTCAGGAAGAACTCTTCATGAGCCTCCCGTCATGTTAGTTGCTGACTCTAAGGCGCCAGAGTTTGTGGCAGTTTTGCCGGCGTATTAGGGGTGTGGTCCATGTGGACCTATAGCCCCTAGAGGTTCCCATATGGCATAGGCAGGTGACAGTTGCGCTTTGATTTTCGCCATAGGTACCGTAGACGGGAGTGGTTGCTGCAAACCTCAGGGTATAAGTTGGGGGGGGGGGCAGAGACTGGTGCCCAACCACAAATGGGGACTAAGATGGATTATCACTAACCATGGTAACCCCGGACCCGGACACCGGACACTTCCGGACTGTCTTCCGGACCAATGTCCGGACTGGTCCGGACTGTCCAGTGATCCGGACATCACCGGACTCGGACAGTCCGGACCGGTGCCTGGGGATGCAAAATGTCCGGACCACCAGAAAAAAAAAAAAGAAAAAAAAAACGGGGGGRGGGGGGGGAAGGAGGGATTGGGTGGGGGTGTTGGCAGGCACTTACCTGCTTTGCACTTTGTAGTTCAGGCAGCAGAGCACGTGTCTTGCAGCAAATCAACAAGCACATTTAACTACCAGACATGCAGAGTTGCAAACAGTGCAAAGCAGGCACAAGACTAAAGAAACAGAGAATTTTTTGTTGAAAAAACTTCAAAAAAGTATGATTAACTTTGAACTTTGAACTTCGGATTTAGTAATTTGAGTTCATAACTTCATTATTAGTCTTCATATATAAATTAGAAGTTCAAACTTTGCAGTTCAATTCAGAACGTCAGAGTCTTCAGACTGGCAGCACTGTCAGTGCTCTCTCTCTCTCTCTCTCTCTCTCTCTCTCTCTCTCTCTCTCTCTCCAACGGGCAGCAGCGGCGAGCGCCACATCGAAACGGCCACTTTGACATTGCTCGGGCCTGTGTGAAACCCACCACCCCAAAAACCTGCAGTGTCTTGTGTCCGGACCTCTAGGCCCTGTCCGGTGGGGTGAAACGACACTGAAAATCACCCTGTTATTTTTCAAGGGCGGCCAGGACCCGATAAACATCCTGGGCTGCCCCGTTTTTTTTTTTTTTTTTTTTCGCTCCAGGGGGCTCCATCCGGACATTAGGACCGGACACCGGACACCAGACACAGGACACCGGACACCGGACACCGGACACCGGACTGTCTGGAACCCGGTCCGGACGTTACCATGTCACTAACGGTATCGTTAGTTAGTGGACTCCGCAGACTGTCGAGGGTTCAGCCTCCTGACGAGCCGGTGAAACTCCAACAAAACAGTTTGTCACAGCCCCCTGTTTCTTGTCTGTCCCTTTCTCCAATTTCTGTCCGCGGCTCACTTGTACGCTGTGAGAAAGAGGCAGAGTAAAAGGGAAGGGGATAAACACACAGAAGAGACGGAGAGAAGACAAAGCAAGGGAAGACAAAGTAAGTGAAAGTAAGGAGTGTGGAATGAAGATGAAAGCAGAGGGAGGAATAAGGAAAGGCTCAAGAATCAGTCTGTCCTTGACAACAGAGAGGACATATATCATAAGGGGATGAGGTGGATGAACACGTGGAAGACCTCCTAGCTGAGCATTCTCAGTACGACAACAATCGCCACGACGGCTGGCATTGAGCATGCCCACGATACGCTCCCGACAAATGGCATGTCGATTGCAGGCCAAGATGAAGGAAGAGGGGGCACCACAAATGACCGTGCATACACCACTTAGGATCATCATTTTAACAATGCAACGCATGCGTCATAAGTTTATATCCAGTGATCCAATGTCATGCCATTCAAGACTACAGTAATAGAAGCAAAGACTCTGCACGGGCAACCACAGGGTGAATGTGAAATGAGCGGTACCTCGAGAAGTACAAGAGTTTTGTCCCGTCTTTGTGAAGCTGAAGTCGATCTCCGTCAAACTTGCACTCAATGACAACTGGCTTTCCACGCATCTAAAACCAAAAATGCCACGAGCATCAGCTGAATGGTTTGAACTTTGAAGTTTGGACTCAAAACTTGAAAGCTCAAAATTCAAACGAAGAGCCACAACCACTCGGCAAAACCGATGCGACAAGCACTCAGCATAACCGATACGACCAGATGCGATTTTGACATTCAACAAACAGAGATGGATGTACGATAAACCGTCAATGAACACCTGAAGGTCCAGCACAACCAAACTAGTAATGAAAGCAGATAAAACCAGGACACTGTATTCGCGAACCTGGTTTGATCAATGAACCAGGTACTCGTTGCCTTTTCGTTTGCAAATCGCAAACCTGTTTTGATGAACCGACCAAGAAATTGCTCAACACACAACGAAACGGACTGATGCGAAGTCCTTAGTGGCTGTGCTGGTGTGCAGGTACAAGTTACTGGAATTTTGGGAAGACTTAGGGTTTGGTGTTACCTTTTAAAAATATTTCACTGTCACATACAGGGTTGCATACCCGCCGACTGCCGACACCGACAGCGGACGGTCTTGCAGCCTACCAGTGGGGCCGACCGGTCGGCAGTCTGCCAACCAGTCCGTAGAGGGCCATCCGATGATTTTTTTTTCAAATCTGAGTTCAGGCTGTACTGCACTTGCTGATTGCAGCCTGAATCCGCTGAAAAACTTTGGGAGACTGGGGAGGGGGAACAGAGGGTTATGGGGGGGGTATAGGAGGTGTTGGGGGGGTGTATGGGGGTGTTGGTGGGGTTATTGGGGGTAATGGACCCCACAATTTTTTTTATTTTTATTTTTTTTGGGCGGGGTGCCGACCGACCGCCGGCCGGTAGGTGCCAACGGGTTGGAACGGTCGGCTTGTTGGCAGCAGACCAATCTAGGGATGCCGACCGTCGAAGTGACTACTCTGGTCACATATGCATAAACTAAAAAGAGTGAAGTTTGCAAAACAAACAAACAAAAAAAAAAAAAAGCAGCGCACACGACGCACACATGCACAGTTCTTGTGGCTTCTGCGGTGCAGCTCGTTCTTTTCTTACCTTGGCTTTTTTTCGCAGTTTCTCTTTTACTACAATTATGTCTTGTTTTAGCTCCCCCTTTACTGTGCCTCTCACATACAACACTATGAACAAAATTAAAAAATCGGTTAGCATTACCGTCAGGATTGCTGTTAAGCCAATCATTGGTGTACAAGGACCCAACTGTATCTCAACAGAAGAGAGAGAGAGAGAGAGAGAGAGAGAGAGAGAGAGAGAGAGAGAGAGAGAGAGAGAGAGAGAGAGAGAGAGAGAGAGAGAGNGAGAGAGAGAGAGAGAGAGAGAGAGAGAGAGAGAGAGAGAGAGAGAGAGAGAGAGAGAGAGAGAGAGAGAGAGAGAGTTGCAATATTGGACAACAGATGCGAGGTTTACTTTCACAGAATATGTGTCCTGTCCATGGCATGCGACAGATCCTGTCACGACTACCCTTCCACCTCTCTGCTCAGGTAATCTTTCCAGCCATTGTCAGAAATACTTATAACCTCGGCCGAAATATTTCATTGTCCTGCTGAACTCAGTTGCTGCAGTCTCCTCATATCATCGTGTGCTCGTCATCGTCGATCAACCCTACCGTCCTAATGTTGTATCTGTCGCTGTATATCTGAAATTCTCCTTCGTCGACAAAGGGTTATGTCATCATATCCTGTGGCGCAACTCGTCCAGAGTCTCCAGTTCACTTCCTTCCCTTGTATCTGTCTACCAGTCCTTGGAATCCATGATGTGCCCCTGTACTTCAGCCTCAGAATTTTGTCCTTGTATCAAACTTGATATGTATATAAATTTGTAGCCATGTGTGTTCGAAAATATCTTCGGGATGAGTCGTTCAAATTTCTACGATGGAATTCAGGAGTTCCTTGGGTGGACACCCTGAGATAAAACCATAGCTACGCCGGACCGGACTCCGGACCGAGTCCAGACCCCGGACTCCGGACTTCTCGGCCCCATCCGAACTTCCGGAAAACCGGAATATTCCAGAATATCTGGACCGGTTCGGAACACCTGTCCGGATGTCTGTCCGGAACCCACGTATTTTCCGGGATTAAAAAAAAAGAAAGAAACACGACTATGGGGGGGAATGCTCAATCTCAGGTCCGCATCTCAACAGTTCAAGGGCGTGCCACAAAAAGGCTGAATTATGCCGTTGGGGTGCATTGGCTGTTTTATTCTTTTGGAAGGGCAACACGACGGCCTTGAGATATTGCTGGATTCGAACTTGAGTCTGCATTTCAACAGGTTGTGGGTGTACCAAAGTGGACTAGGCCCGTTGGAATGCCGTTGGCGGCCACATGAAAAAAACAAAGCTTAAAGAAAACAAAAAAAAACAAAAAAACAAAACAAAGCATGAAAACTGGAAGAAAGAGAACTCAAAGAACCCGCCAAGTGGCGGGCAGAGGGAAACGTGGAACAGAAAGTAACCCCATATGTTGCAGGCACTGTTTTTTTTCTTAAAAATTAAAATGGCATATTCCTTTCAGTTTTTCTTTCTGTTGATGTCGTTTGTCTTTTGCTGGAATGTACGAGCGTCCAATCCAGGGAAGGTACACACGAATTGAGAGGACACAGTCATGCCCTTCTGCCAAAACAAGGGGGGGAAAAAAAAATTGGTTTCCCTTGAAGAGCGGGCACACAGTATCGCCCCACTACTCACCACATGCACAAGCGACAGAACATATGGTGGTGTATCTTTCCATGTTCTAGCGGAAGATTCATTCTCATTTTGCACATTTGGTGAGCAGTGGAGTGAGGCCCAAAGCCCCCATTGGACCTCGCTGCACTACTCTCCACAAGCAGAAAAGACAAACAAGATGGCAATGTATCTTTCCATGTTCTAGCGGGGGATTCAGTCTCATTTTGCACATTTGGAGAGTAGTGCAGCGAGGCCCAAGTCATTGCAGGCGCCCGTTCTGACGGGCGCTGTTTTCTTTCTGAAAGTAAGATTTTTTTTTTCCATTTTCTTTTCAGACTTTCTTTATTTTGGGGGGGGAATGCACTATGCGACCTCTCCTGGGAAGATACGCGCGAGTCTGATAAGGGCCTTGTGCAAACGACAAAATACCAAGCCGAGGTTGGTTTGCGTTGAAACGAGGGCAGGGCGGGAAAAGAAAACTTAGGGCCTGCGTCCGGCCCTGCCTGGATGCCACGCACAGCACTCAAAAAATGGCCAAGCATTTTTCCACGGCGGTCCATATTGGAAGAAAACGACCTGGGCCGCCTGGAAAAAAATTGGGCTACCCCCCATTTTCCCACCATCCGGACCAGGATCCGGAAACCTGGACCAGACATCAGACTCCGGACAGTCCGGATCCCTGTCCGGGTGTCCGGATTGTAGCTATGGATAAAACGATCGAGTTTCCATGGTCTTCGGTCGTTAAGGTTCTGTGACATGAGACGCACAGCTCTTTAATTCCTTTCCATGTGACTGCTTTGTGATTATATCACGTGTCTATATGCGTGTGATTCTTTATGTGCATGACTCCTGGGTTCATTGGTTCATCTGAGACGTTTCTTTCGGTCGAAAAACATCATGTTTAATTATAATCCAGCACA